TCTTCTTCTTCTTCTTCTTCTTCTTCTTCTTCTTCTTCTTCTTCTTCTTCTTCCAAGTCAACAGGAAATGATACCTCATTCGCGACAAATTTTAAAATGTACAGATTTCCTGGAGTGTGAAAACGCCCATATTGTCGTTGCAAGTGCATCTGTAGAAGTTTTAGAAACTTTGATTTTTGCCGCTTTACTATTCTGAACTGGGGGATCATTCACAAGGACATCATATTCTTGTTATTATTGTGCTCGCTGTTGTTTTTGTTGTCATTGTTGCTGTAATTGTCCTTATTATTATTGTTTTGTGTTGCTGTCGTTTTTTATGTTGTTGTCAATATTGTTCTTGATATGTGTTATTGTTTTTGTTTTTGTTATCGTCATCGTTATTGTCGTTGCTATTATAATTAGTATTGTTGTTGTTGTTGCTGCTGTTGTTCCTGTTGTTGTTGTTGTTGTTGTTGTTGTTGTTATTGTTGTTGGTCGTGGTGTTATTGGTTTTAAATACACAACTAGACACACTATAAGCCTTGTGAAAAGTGGACTGTTTGGTTCCTTCTGCTTTACGAAACAAGTTCTAAAGAAATTTTCGAGGAGAGACGAAGAAAAATAATACAACGCCTATTCCGATTTTAACCTTGAAAAACTGTTTGACAGAACAAGCTCGAGAACTTACTTCATCACAAAGATCAATCACACTGCAGAAGCAAAAATAAGGAAATAATTTGAACTTTAAGAAAATAAGGTTTTACTTGTAAATAATTTTCAATATTCAAGGCTGTAGATGATAACACTTTCAGTATATGAAAAAAAAGTGTTTTTTTCTAGTTACTCTGAAAGTTTGGATCTTTGTCGACACCCTAAAATTAAAATTAAACTGCATCTAACGATTTATTCAGGGTGTCTAACAAAATGTTGAAATCCTCAGGAAACTACACGCTTGAACGACTGTAAGCAGTTGGAATCCACAGAGCAATTTGCACGGAATTTGAAAGAAAAAAAATATTTCAAACAACATTTCAGTAGCTGGATTGACTTCTGTTTTGCTTGTGAAATACTTTGGGCAATTTAAAGGGCTGTTTGTTTTGTTTTGGTTGTTGTTGTTTTTTCTTGTTGTTTTTGTTTTTGTTTGTTTTGTTTTTTTATTTTTGTTTGGTTTGGTTTTGGTTTGTTTTTTGTTTTTTGTTTTTTTTTTGTCTGAGCTTTTAGATCGGCCTGGGAATGACAACAACACGCGGTACAACATCTCCCTCAAGAACGTTCACTTAATCCTAATCACCTACATGTATGAAAGAAGTAAACTATTCACAAATCGGGGGTAAGTGATAAACGAAATTGAATATCTAGTAATCCTATTTTTATTGTCTATAAACCCATTTTAAAATGTCTAGACAACTGTAAGCGAAAATCAGCTAAACAGAAGTCATGCCACCTGATTCATTACAAGTTTTATTTAAACACCTCAGTGAGATCGTACGATAACATTATAGCAAAGTAAACGCTTTCACATTTACATTGCCTTGAGCAACATTAACACAACAGTGATAGTTTGATATGATGAAAACAAAACATTTCGGGAAGAAACCTACAAAACAAAACAAAACAAAAACAAGCAAATTATGTTGATGGCATTTACATAATTATGTATGAAGCGGGAATGTAGTTTATCTTTCCCTCAGTCGAACAAACTACGAAGTTACAAATGCCTCAGATAAATGGAAGCAGCAACAAAAGATTCCTTGTTGAAGAAAAAGAACATTGTTCTCCCTGCTTTTCTTTTTCTCCCTGCTCCCTCGTCGCGACCCCTTTTGCAACCCCTCGCCCTTCAAAAAGAATAAACTTAATTGCTATAGCAACACTGAGCTGAAAATGTTTCCTCTGTTTCGACTGCGCTCTCTCTCTCTCTCTCTCTCTCTCTCTCTCTCTCTCTCTCTCTCTCTCTCTCTCTCTCTCTCTCTCTCTCTCTCC